TAATAATAATAATATTTCTTTCTTTTAGCCTGAACCACCACCAACAAACAAATGGCAACTTGATAATTGGTTAAATAAAGTAAACCCACATAAAGTTTCACCAGCTTCATCTGTAGATAGTAACATTCCATCTTCTCAAGGCTACAAAAAAGAAGGCCGTGAGCAGGTTACTGGGAATAGCTACTCTGATCCAGGTGGGCCTAAAGAATCGAGTTCTACTACTCCTGGACGAGATTCCAAAGCCATCCAAAAGGGATCAGAAAGTGGGCGTGGGAGGCAGAAGTCTCCTGCACAGAGTGATAGCACAACACAAAGGAGAACTGTAGGCAAAAAGCAACCCAAAAAAGCTGAGAAGGCAGCTGCTGAAGAGCCTCGGGGAGGCCTGAAGATAGAAAGTGAGACCCCTGTAGACATGGCTACCAGTATGCCTTCCAGTAGACACAAAGCAGCCACCAAAGGCTCAAGGAAACCCAATATAAAAAAGGAATCTAAATCTTCCCCTCGACCTACAGCAGAGAAAAAGAAATACAAGTCAACAAGTAAGTCTTCCCAGAAATCAAGGGAAATCATAGAAACAGATACCTCGTCATCAGATTCAGATGAAAGTGAAAGCCTTCCTCCTTCCTCACAAACTCCTAAGTACCCTGACAGCAACAGGACTCCTGTGAAACCCTCCTCTGTGGAGGAAGAAGATAGCTTTTTCCGGCAACGAATGTTCTCTCCTATGGAAGAGAAGGAGCTCCTCTCACCCCTCAGTGAGCCTGATGACAGGTATCCACTTATTGTGAAGATTGACTTGAATCTCCTGACCAGAATACCAGGAAAGCCTTACAAAGAAACAGAACCACCTAAGGGGGAAAAGAAAAATGTGCCAGAAAAGCACTCAAGAGAGGCTCAGAAGCAAGCCTCAGAAAAAATTTCCAATAAAGGAAAGAGGAAACATAAGGTTTGTGATGATGGTTGTGATTTTTCTTTATTAATCATCTCTGTCTGAAATGCTGTGGAAATCTCAGTAAGTAGGTCTTGAGTTACAAGAGAAAATAGTGTACTGAGCCCAAGGCCCAACTGAGACTACATATATAGAGCACTCTTAAGAATTTCTGGGGGCTGGTGAGATGGCTCAGTGGTCTAAAGCACCTACTTAGAACAAGCTAAGCTAAGCAAAACACAGGGACCGTGGTTCAATCCCCAGCACCACATGCCAGCCAGGCCCGCCCCCTGGTGGGCTGAGCTGGCCACACACACAC